AGTTTGCATTTATAAATCTGTTTGGAGCTGGACTATTATTAAATACTTTGGTCTTCTTAATTCAGCATTAATTTTTAGTTTTATAGTAAAGCTCTCTTTAGTTTGAGTCATTTGGCTATGATTTTTATACAGCTAAGAAGTTTCTTTGAGTTAGCAATTCAGCTCACTTTTGGAAAAAGTTACCCAGTATAAGGCTTTTTAGAGAGATTTTTTTTTGGGGGGGGGGAGGGGTCTGGGGTCCAACATCTGTAACACTGGATTACAGATTGTTTCTAAAATAATCTTAAATTGATGGATCATTTCTCCTTCCATTCGGGCCTGACAAAAAAGTAGCTCTGGCATTTCCTCTTCTTTTTATGCTGTAAACTATATATCACTTTTCAGCTCTTGCCAGAAAAATGAATTCTTACCCATTTCAAGATTTTATAAACTTGAATTTTACTTAGGGGTATAAGAATTGGTTTTACAATAAATCTCTCAACAACGTCTTTGCCCTTACTTTTCTCATTCAGATTTGGTCTTTTGCCTTTTGGCCTTTATTTCATCATAAAAGGGGAGTTTCTTTCTTTTCTTTGCTGAGAACAGGTTAAATTGTAGCTCAAAATTTACAACATTGTCATGGAGTTTAAGGGCTAATGAAATCTAAGCCCTAGCAGAGGGGTAGAACTGGCCAGAAATCACCACAATCTGACCTCATTCTGAGTTAGCTGCTACAGACCTGTGAAGCCAGGGTTGTATAGGAGGGCAAAATGTGTAACATTTTCAACTTCATACACAGTAGACCTTTAGGAAAAGCACACTAGACCAATATTTCCTAATATGTGCTCCTCAGGAAAGAGGATCTATGCACAATGTTCAAGTTAGGGAAAACCCAACTTAAGCAAAAATGAGCAGGTATATATTCTGCAGGACTTTTCAGAGCCTTTATTGTGCTTTTGTGTGTGCATTGTGAATTTCCAAGAGAAAAAAAATGTCACACAATTTTCTCCAAAACTGTCACTTTGGAATGCTATTTTCATGAGGTATATCACAGAAATGGTGTTTCACAGAACTCACTTTAGTGAAAGCTGTACTGGAGGTATTGCCAAATTCATGGTAAAAATGTATATAGTTTCAGAATCAGATCCTCTCCTCCAGCAAAACAACAGAACTGCAATTTAAACTATTGGAAATACAACTTATTGTTTTTGACAGTTTTCCATCTTAGATACTAGATTGAATTATTTTTTTTTCCATGCAGGGCTTTTATTTCTCTCAGTAGTCTGTGTTTCTCTTCTAGATATGTTTTACTAATTGAAGCCTTCAGAAATAATGGCATCTGTAATGCCCAGCTGGTCCCCACAGTAAGAGTGGAAATTATGATATCTATTAATGTGAAGTAAAAAAGTGAGACATAAATAATTTTGCAGGACAGTATTCTAACTATATTTTTGAAATCATGGTTGATTCCCTGTGTGATCCCAAATCAACTACTTAACTATTTAGGAGTTTAGCAAGGTAGAAAATAACCAGTTCACATTTGAATAGGGAAGTTTATAACAGCATTAATACATTTTACAAGACATCCCCAGTTTGGGGGCCTTCTTTGTTAGAAATGTTTATCACCCCTGTCTTTTAAAAAGGGGTCTAATCTAATTTAAACTTTAATATGAGAATATTTATTGCCTGTCAACATGAATCCTATAGTTCAGAAGTTGGTGACTTCTACCCCAAATTGGTCTTCACCCTACATCTTTTCTAACCTAAATATTGATTGATTTCTCAACATGCCACCTACTGTTCAGTTGATATTCAGCCAATAAATTGCATATATATATATATATATTTACACACACACAAGCACACATTTTATAACAGTGAATAAGCAAGATAGCTTATATTTTTTATAATACACATCCATATTTTCCTGTTAACTTTCTTTCTTAACTACATTTGATTTTTCCAAAAGTTATTGCATGTAACTTTCTTTTCCCAACTCAGGGAAAAAATATTCTAAGCCACTGTAATAATTTCACCGGCAGAAATACAATTATAACAAGAATACAAAACCGTGTGTTATTTTGAAAATTTTACTTATAACAAGATTATTTTACAGCAGTCATAAGTTAGAGTTTTATTAAAATCAAATAGAAAGTGTGCAGACAAATGGACACAAAGGATACAGGTTTGAGGTGGAATGAGTATTTCGAATGAATATTCCATATTCACACAGCATAAAGCACAAAATGAACATTTTTTCGACGGGAAATTTAGGAAACCGATGCATTAGCCGAAATCCATTACAAGAGTCCCCCTCCACGGCCCACTGGCTAAAATAGAGAAGCCTTCCCTGGAAGGGAGCTCAAACATGTACCTCCAGCCTCCTACTCTTCATTTTATTTAAATTCAATCTTGGTTCCTGCCTCTAGATTTGGCCCTGCTCTGGATACTAAGACGAGGCCTTTTGCTGAGCAGGAAAAATATAAAGAACTCTGGAGAAACTGGAAAAATAGCCTAGCTTCATTTCAGCCTTGTTGCTCTGCCCTCATGGACTGAATGCCAGTAGCTGTATCTTTCCAGTATCCCTTGGGGACCTACCTGAGATCCTCAAATGCTATAGATCCCTTCCAGCTTCTCCCCTACAACCTCCTGACAGCCTCGACTGCCCCTCCAGCAATCAGCTCTTGGACCTCCCTTGATTTCTGGCCTTGCCTTTGAGGGTATGACTTAGTTTGGGCTCCCAGCTATTTTAAATCTCATTGTCCCTGCCACCAACTGAAATTACAGCCATAATTAAATAGATAAATGTATCTTCAATCCTCAGTCTATCTTTACACCATCTCTTCCCCTTTCAGACTCCCTGGGCTCCAGGTCTTAATTTTTTACTCATACTACCCTGTTGACCAAGTCATCCTATATATAGCGCATTCACCTTTAGACCTTGTATTCATGGAAAGATAGAGTTAAGAGAATACAAATCCTTCCATGAACTTTTTGAAGTACCCTCATACCTTCAATATTCTCTCACTTTTGATTCTAACTTCTCCATGGCCTATGACCTCTGAGTCCTGTTCTCTGCTAGAAAAATCTTATCAGTTTAGACCTTTTCTACCAATGGGAAAAGTTGTTAAAGCAACTTTCACCAAGTAGGTACTCAGTTAGTTATGTTATCTTTTTCTGTATTTGCTTTCAACCTTTTTTTTTTTAATGTGGCAAAATCAATGAAGGAGTGAGGGAGTTAGTATCATAAAATGGTATTAATTTTTTTTATAAAAAAGGAGAAACCTATTTTTCTTTTATAGTGAATCTCACTAGTGGCTATTATAATACACAGATCTGGGAGAGGCTCTAGAGCGATCTTAAACTGGGGTAAATTGGCACGTTTAGGAAAGCAAAGGCCCATTCCACTTACCCCGTGACAGGTAGGAGGATGGCCCATTCCACTTACCCCATGACAGGTAGGAGGATGTTTAAATCATTCTACAGGCTTTTAGTGAATGAAGTAGCAAAGAAGCATAGCTTCTTATATTTCAAAGAAAACTTTAAATTTGAAGTCTCCGGTAACTCACTGATACTCTAAAAATATGAGAATCTCTTCCAGAAATGGAGCCACGTGAACAGTACTCACAGGTACAAATGTTCTCCATTTGAAGCAGAAGAAAAGGGAAAATGGGAGGCAGAATATTTTGAATATTCAATCCAAATTTAAAGGCCATTTTGCCCATAGTAAATCTACTATAACCAGACTGCCCATCACAATTCCTCAGTGAGGAATGAAAATTCAGACCCTCTTATGGTGGACCTTATTATAATCATGTGGAGGGAGGCAAAGTGAAAAGTCAGCCCAGTTATTAAGCCTAGAAGTTGTGACAGACCCTGGCAATGATGCTGCCCCAGGTATTGGACCAGACTGCCTGGGTGGAACTGGGACTCTGCATGACATCAGGTTCTTCACCACTCTGTCCCTCAATCTTTTGTAAAATGGGCTTAATAATAGAAGCTACCTCAGGGGTTGGATTAAACGAGATAATAAAATTACTTAGAACAATAATTCATTATTATCAATATTGGTCAAGTACATTTTGAGGACCATGTTACGTGCCATGCCCTGGTGCTGTGTGCAGGTACAAGTCAGTGCACATGGGGCTCTGATCCTTCCCAGTCTCTTTTAGGAGAAGGAAGTCATGGCTGCTTGATCGTGGAGTGGTACTTTAGAGATTTGGGTTTGTGAAGGGGTAGAAATACAGCAAGTCTTCCTGCCTCCTCTGATTCAGAACTACATAGGACCATGTAGGTCAAACAACAAGAGTCTTCAGCAATGGTGCATGCTGAGCTCTGAGGCTACAGACCCATGGTCTTGGAGTAAAGTGGTCCTTTGCCTTGCATTACTCTCTTCACTCATATTTCCCTTGGGTTGGGATGTCTGGTAGAGTATGGGTTTCAGTATTTCTTAGCAACCTGTCCTTCCACACGCTATCCTTTGTTCTTTAAGATCACTTAAAACCTCTCTCTTCTGAATTTTAATATAAAACCAAGTAGACTTCAGTTGTAAGAATAAGCACTACTTTTTTAAGTCTCAATTTTTAGGATGGGGCTTTATTTTCTTTTTAGGAGTGCTGTGTTGAAACAGGCAAGGCATTACCATTAATAAAACCACATCTTAATGTCCCATTGGTATTCCAGCTCTCCATATAGTCCTCACCCAAGCAAACATTTCTTTGATTCCAATGGGACTCTTTTCCTGTGCAAATGCTACAGGATTTTGCATTTTATTGAGCCATGAATGAAATTGGCTGTCCAAATGAATGGAGACACTTAGAATTTTGTTGGATGAGGCAATGTATTTTTCCCCAACAGTCATAGGTTCTATTTCCATATAGTAAAGCATGAAGGGTAGAAGATTAACTAGTGTTGTAAAGTAGTTGTTTTTCCTGAGTGAGAAAATTGTTTTATAATTCCAAAGTAGCCACAATTTCACTTTAAACTATAATAGAATTTTTTTTCCCTCTGTCTCTCCACAGGATAGTGGCCAAAGCTTCCAAGAACCTCATGTCCACGCAAAGCTTAGGGATTGTATTTGGACCCACCCTCCTGCGAGCTGAAAATGACACAGGGAACATGGCAGTACACATGGTATACCAAAACCAGATAGCTGAGCTCATGCTGAGCGAGTATGATAAGATCTTCAGCTCCAAGGAAGACTGACAGACAAGACAAGTTACTGAATATGTTCACATCTGTCTTGATGCCTAATATTTTTACATTTCTGTAAACATATTTCTGAAATATTTTTTTCCTTTCAAGTGACAGATGCCTCATTTTGTGAAAACGTAACGATGATTTTGTGTTTAAGTTCCAAACATTTGAATAAAATAATTGACAATATTTGCCTATATGTGTTCTACATTAACCCCTTCGGTGCTGTTCCTTCTAGCACTTCCAGGAGCACATCATGCATGCTTCGTGCTATTAAGTAACAAGTAGAGTACAGCACATATCCAAAAATTGCTTTCTTGCTGCTCCAGGGCATCAAGTGTGTGGCTGTGTATGTGTCGGTGTGTGAGTGTGACTGTGGTCGAGAATATGGGTACGTGTACACACATGTGCCTTCTCACAATCCACGCTGCCTCAAGCATGTTCCCATACTCCCGTGTGTGTGAAGGTACCGCCAAAAAATGTGGGAAGACAGAAGCTAATAATTTTAAAATACAATGAAGGAGATCAGGTTCTCACTAAAACAGATATATTTCATCTTTCAAGAACATTTTTATACTTATAAATATAATCCAGCTCTTCTCAGTGCTATATGTTGAAATTTATAAATACAACACATTGAATGGCAATTTTTCTGAAGAAAAATGACAGTTCAAAACATTTGCCACTGGATATGTTTTTTAATAAATACTATTTGCAGCCCCATAAACATACTATCTTGTAAATTAGAAACAAAATTAGTGCCCTGTAATTTTGATCTCTATATTATACAGGAGTTGCATGACTGCTCGTTTTTAATGTTAACATCCATTTTGAATCTTCATCAAACTGTATATCTTTCTTTTCCCTGGCTGTGTCATTTTATGTAGAATTTTTATTATGCTTCTGAGGATGCTTTATTGGCAAATTACATTAAATCCATCTAGAAAGAACTTTTTAAAAAGGCTTTTTTTCATATGCCCTAAGGATTACTTGGCTAGACTTGGATTGCTTTATCCATTTGATGGTTAGTTTCAGTTGTCATGGATAAACAAAAGGGTAACTGTCTAGAATATATCAAACATTGTTTTATTTTGAAACGTATGTTCTAGCTGAACACAGCTCATACCCGGTTTTATGAAAGTATTCTGCTGATAAAAATGTAGACTTATGTTTGACAGCTTTTTAATCAAATTGAAACAGAATAAATAAAACTAATCCAGTGCGATAAAGAGTAAGTCTAGTTATCGATTTGTTCATAAAATGAAAAATAAAGCATGTAAATAAAACGCGTGAAGCACGGATCCAAGAGCAAACACATAGAGTCATAATGAGCTCAGAGGCACAAGCTGTGTGCGTAGATGGGTATACAGAAGAGAGTCTGCTGAAGAGAGAGCCAGATGTGCACACAGCTCCAGCATCCACAGAACTGCCTCAGGAAGGAGAGGTTCCCTTGTCCCTCATGAATGTCTTCATTTTCACAATGGCGCCAGTAAATGGGCTCATGGCCAGAACAGAGAAACAACCACAAGAAATGCTGAAGTGTAGTTTCATTGAGTGGGATGTATACACAGACCACAAAGCCGAGAAAATCACATGAGGCTGAATCTCATGTTCTAAAGTCACCAGTACCACTGAGCTAACAGACTTGATAGCTTTCAACAATTCTTATACATAAAATTGTGATTACACCTTTCAGAAAAACATGGAGACATAAAACAAGAGTTTCTGGCATTCTATTTCAAGTCCTCCTCATTTCCATAATATTCTATACTGTCAATTAGGTTTTTCCCAAGACTTTAATGACTTCTTTTTTTGAGAGAGGGAAGAGTAGGTTTAGTAGTTCTAGCATTAAAATCTTATCTCTTCACATCTTTAAAGGTATTCTGGAAGCATCAGCCAGAGAGAAGCAGCACTGAAAGCCAAAGAGAAGTGACACTACCTGCTTCGAGCAGGGACTCACAACCCCATGTCTCTGCTGCTTTCCAGATTTATAATCTTCAAAAGCACCAGCTTCTTGATTTCCAATCTGATGGGATTTAGCCTGATTCAAACCCCAGCTGTGTCCTTTCCCTGCCTGCTAAGAGCATTTAATCAGAGACTGTGTTTCCTCTTCTGGGAAAGACCATTCCAAGGTGCTGAGCCAAAGTGCCCATCACAGGATCTGACTTGTATACAGTAAAGGCATAAAAAGGGTTGTGCCAAAAGGTCATTAGATCCTGCAAAATCTCAGACAGTGACGATGGTCAACTGTTCCAAGTTTAAAAGTTGAGACTGTAAGTACAGGTTGATTTACAAGGAGGTTAGATTTTATAAAACTGCTCAATATTCTCCATCAAGAAGACATGAAAAACCAGTGAGCATTTCTAAATTACCTAATTTGAGTCAGACACAATTCTAGGCACTAGTGATACAAATATAAAATAAGGTAAACATTCCTATCTGCTGTAGTTTCACAGTTTAATTGGCTAAGGGTTAGTTACAGTTCAATACAAGATCAGGGAACTTAGCCATCTTGGTAACCATGCAGCCCCAGGGTTCAGAGATGCTCTAAAGGTATTTTTTTAATGAATGGGTGAGTAGAAGCTGTTAGAGAGATATGAACAAGTTTCAGTGGTTGACAGAAGACCAAATAACAAATTGTGCCTGGTGGAGTGAGATGAGGCTTCACTCGGTAGCTAGCCTTTCCAGTCTAATCTTGACCAATAAATAAGACTTACAAGACAAAGAAAAATGCAGAAGACATACTAGGAAGCAGGAATGGCATGAACAGAGTTGTGAAAGACCTGACTTCCCCAAGGAAAAGTGAGAAGCTCAAGGAATAGACGATGAAGTGCATGCTTGGCAATTTTGGGAGATGGAGTTGGAGAAAGATGTCAGGGTCAGATTCAAGCCATGATAAAACATTTGAATTTTATCCTATAGGTCAAAGGGATCCAACAGAGGCAGTAAAATCAGAAATCCATGGAGAAACTTTGTTTCTTAGAGAGAGAATCTCTACATTCACCAGTGGGCAGGAGAAACAAACTACTTGGGGGAGATGCCATTTTCTAGTGTATGTGTTTATGTGTGTGTGTACATATAATTTTTAACATTTTCAAGGAATACAATTATAATCCTGTATTCTTAAAAGCATTCTATATTATGATGAGAAAACATTTTAAGAAATTATAAGCTAGCCTATAGAACGGAAACACAAGTCCAAAACAATCTCCCTGGAAAATCAAGCTTATTATTATGTCCCATTTCAGCAAGGATTTACCTAACCGGGACATAGAAGGTGGCGCCTCTTTCCTACTGACACAAAAAGCTTCTTGGAGATTGCAGGTAGTCCATCCTATATGTTGAGAGTCTGACTTTCCTCAGCATGTGCCATATGACAGGATCACCATGCCACAGCTAGTAATTGATAAGCCATATGATGGTTCTCCCTATCCAATTAGAAAACAAAGGATCCAATTAAGAAAAATTAGAAAAGCTGTTAAAAGGAAGCAATCACTTGGCAATGGTGCCATCCTTACAGTTTAACACAGCTAGAAATTGACCTGTACTTCTCTTTTCTACATTTATTTTTGTGAATTATAAGTTAATCACCCTGTCAATTCCTAATTAAAAGGCCCTGCAAAGATTTTCATCCAAAAGAACTGTCACAAAGAGTTCTGGGTCAAATTGCTCTGTTGTCAAAAATGAGACATAAAACCAAAACAATATCAACTCTCTCCTGGGAAACTCAAATCTTAATCAAAAAAAAAAAAAAAAAAAAGACTTTCTCCAAACGTAATAATCACATTTTATCTCTTCAGCTAAGATGGTTCATCTTATCCTTAGAATATCGATGGATCTTTTTTTTTTCTCTCTTTCTTGAAACCAGGGTTGCAAACTCAGATGCTGAGTGGGACCAAGGGAGTAATATGAAAAAGAGAAGCGGGCAACCGCAGTATGGAGTGGTAGCATCTGGGGAAACCTCAGGCTCAGCTCCTGGCCACAAGGGTCGGCTTCTACTCAGCTGGAGCCGATGTCGCTTATGTGGGAATGTAAGCACAATGTTGCCAGACCTTCAGATCTTTCATGAAAAGCCAGAATTAAAGAATCTTATGTGAAATCTGATTTTTATGGGCATCAAATAAAACACATCTGAGCAGACTCAGCCCCAGGACCTCCATTTTTGTGACCTCAGCGTTAAACCTTCCAAGGGCACAAAGCTTGCTCCCCAGAAAGTGCTAGTGCATGGAGCACACTGTGGAGATGAGAGAGAGAGGCAGAGCACTGCAAAAGCGCACAAACAGTGAACTAAGCACTTAGGAAACTGACTGCTTAGACCCTGAGCAAATTATTTACTCTACCTGGGTCTCAGGCTTCTGATCTATCAAATAGAATAATATTTGTCTTATCTTGCCTCGAAGGACTGTCTAATGGAATCATATGAGGGAAATTGAAACAGGTAAAACACTATGAAATTGTAAGTTGTCCCTAAGGATGTAACTTTATGTTCTGAATGTGCCAGGAACTGCGCTTTTTATATATTGTCTTATTTAATCTTCACAACTCTGTGGCGGGAGATGCTGTTATTATCCCTGCTTTGTATTTGAGGAGATTGAGGGGAACGAATAATGAAGTTACCAAGATCATGCAGTCAGTAAGCATCAGGTCAATATTTGAATTTAAATAATATGACTCTAGAGGGCCCTCCCTTACCACTATACCATATGGTCACTCAGGAAAAAAAACTGAATAAACGTAAGCACATAAACACCCCAAATATTTACACTCCATGTGTGGGTACCTGGTCACTTGCCTGTTAAAACACCCAATGAGAATTTCACTTTCCTACTAGTTTTCATGAAAAAACAGGACAGGTATTATGTGATTTTCCCAAAGAAATGTAGAGTATCTCTGTTGTTCTGAGAAGACAGTTCAATTTCATTCATGTTATTGCTGTTATAATTTTAACACCCGTGTAGCATTTTGCCTACATGCTTTCTAGACATTGTATTGACCATTTTACTGCATTATGGAAAGCACAGAATGGAAGTCTCTTTGCCCACATCTTTAGAAAGACCTGTTTGGGTGGATTTGACCCTATGTTACATCATATTACCCTGCACTGGGTCATTTTGTCAGTGTCTTGTTATCATCCATCATATCATACTACATAATATTGTATTGAAATTAAATCTGGCCCTTTAGGGATC